GGCAGACAGATAGACAGGCAGGCCGGCAGACAGATAGACAGGCAGGCCGGCAGACAGATAGACAGGCAGGCCGGCAGACAGGCAGATAAAAGCATCTTCAGCACGCCACCGGGCTGGCAGAAACCAAAGAGGGTGGTAATGTTGCAGCTGACAGTGGTTTTAATGATGCACACATGTAAATGAGTACTCATGTGAAGCTGTCCCCCCCCCACCCTCAGAGCACCATCAAAAAACAGAAGTGGAAGCAAACAGGAGAGAGAGAAGGTGGGAGATGAGCGTGTGAGAGCGGCTGTACGTTTATCGTGAGGAAGCGTGTGGGAAAAAGAGAAGAGAAGAGGCAGGCACTCAATGCAGACCAGCCCGCTCACGTGTGCTCACTCTCCTGCCCCCGGCCCAAAGCACACGTGTTTAAAGCATCACGGCCAGGCTGAGCATTTCGCTTCGACTTGTCTTTGGCCCCAGGAACCCACACGTACAGGTCACAGGTACGAGGGAACGTTCTCTGTTAACAAGTCCAGAGACTGCCGGAGTGTGTAATGAGAAGCGAATGGCAGTTTGTGTGTGTGTGTGTGTGTGTGTGCACGTGTTTTTGTTGGGCCCCGTCTCTAATCAGGGCCCCACCTCACGGGGGAGGCTCAGCATGCTCAAGGGCCCACGATAAATCACATCTGGCCTCCGACAGGGACACACACACGGGGACCCGGCTCAGCCGGCGTATGTGCGCCTCCCGCGACTGAGGCTAAGCTAAGCTGGCGGATCCGGGCGAGCGGCTCGCCTTGGCCGAATGGATTGGGGTCCAATGGGGTGTCAGGGAGGATTTGGCAGATTCCACGGCATGAAAGCAAGGATACGGCCTGGCTCACGATGGAGTCCACGTCCCCGACGGCCTGCTCTGGAGCACTCAAGAGCATTTTTATTTACACGAATGCAGAGAAAATCACAGCTATTTCCATTACAATGTGTGATCCCTACAAAACTCCTGCTGACAAGGTTTGCGCGCTGTCAGATCTAAGAGTCATTCACGCATCTTTGCTCCATTCTCCGGGTCCTTCTATCTCTACCCTTTATATTCCCCGTCTTTCCATCTCTCTCCAGAACCAACTCCCCCCCCCCCACCTCAGCTCTTTTTCAAGCTTCAAGTCCCCACTGGACTCAGCCTCTCCTTCTCTCACACATCTGGTCAGACAGCTGTGGCTGGCTACGTTTCAAGGCAGGGGTGGGTTGGGTGGGGATGGGGGGGGGGGTATCCGGTACAGAGCCCAGGGCACCGTTAAAAAAAAAATAATAATAAAATAAAGGGGTGGTGGAGAAACCAAAAAAAAAAACTTTTTACACAAGAAAGAACTGAAAAAAGAACTCCCCAAATCAGCAGCCTCTCTCACTCTATCTATCAAAGTGTCCTTTGCACACCATTAAACTCCATTAAGCAGTACTGCAGTGAGGGGCTGAGGGGTAACGGGGGGGGGGGGGGGGGGGGGGGGGGGGGGGGGGGGGGGGGGGGGCTTAGGGGGAAAGAGAGGGCAGAAGTTTCTAATATCCAGTTTCCAGATTTCGAATGCATTCATCAATCCTGCCCCCGGGTCGTTTAAACGCGAAGAGGGCCGGAACAGAACTATTGTTTTGCCTCCAAAAAGCAGCTGGGTGGAACCCCAGGGCCGGTGTGCATGGGGGTCGCGACCTGGACTCGCCGTACCTGGATCTTGTCCTGCCGCTTCTGCTGCAGAGCCAGCTTGTGCGCCAGCGCGTGCCTCCGAGCCCTCAGCTCCCGGATGTCATCTTCGCTGCCGTCTCCATCCACCTCGCCCTCCGACAGTGACTGCGAGGACTCCGCTTCCACGATCACGTCCTGCTCCTGGCCCGGGGTGGGGGGGTGAGAAGGGGGGGCACAATTAATTACTGATACTCCTTCGAAAAGCAGCTTGCAACGTTTACACAGCTGAAAAAACCCGCCTCGATGGCGAGTTCGGGTGGGGTCAAAGGTCGCGACCCGGCGTGTGACGTCAACTAGACGGTGGGGACATACACACACACACACACACACACCGGACAGCAGGAGAGTCAGAAGCAAAGGGACTGCATGGGAGGTGGCCAGGGGAGAAGAATGGAGTGAGAAGGAAGCGAGGGTGGAACAGGGCCTGGGGAAGGTGAAGCAGGCTCCTCTCGACACAGGAAGCCCCTGATTAGCGCTAACGAGAACTGCAGGCCGCATTAATGCAGCCGCACACACCTCCTGCCATCTGCAGCCACTGCACGCTCTGCCAGACATCGTAAAGCACGCAGGCCAATACACAGACAAACACAGGCAGTGTGCACGAGCTGCACCGTCACACAGCCTCGACAGAGGGGCCACACGCAGGCTCTAGGTAACGGCGTTCATGTCCACAGAAACACATGCAAGCACTTAGAAGCTGAACCGTATCAGACTGGGAAGGTATGCGGCATATTTTGCCTAATGAGCAGAGAGACAGAGGGAAATGGTGGAGCAGAGGGGACGACTGAACACATCCCAGAGACAGTGAGGCAGAGAACTGAGGGTGCGGCCGTCATTGGGATGAGCCAAGCTACATCAGCAGGAGGTTTGTAGGGACGTTCCTGGGCCCAAGGGGATCAGCTTTCAATGGGCACAGCTGACGGCAGCGGGACAATATGGCTACAGCTGATCTTTTATGAAGACGCAAGGTATTGGAAAAGTTCTAAAAATGCCAACTGTGCCTGTAGCTGGCACTGCTGATCGGGGCCCAGGGAGAGAGTGGGCAACAGTGGGGCACACCATTTCAGAGCAGCTGTAGATAAAGCATGATGGAGCTCATGCTGGTGAACAATACAGACATGGTACAGTGTAAGCCATACAGTGACAGGACTACAGTGGAGTGTAAGCCATACAGTGACAGGGCTACAGTGGAGTGTGAGTCACACAGTAACAGGGCTACAGTAGAGTGCGAGTCGCACAGTTACAGGGCTACAGTGGAGTGCGAGTCACATAGTTACAGGGCTACAGTGGAGTGCGAGTCACATAGTTACAGGGCTACAGTGGCGTGCGAGTCACATAGTTACAGGGCTACAGTGGCGTGCGAGTCACATAGTTACAGGGCTACAGTGGAGTGCGAGTCACATAGTTACAGGGCTACAGTAGAGTGCGAGTCGCACAGTTACAGGGCTACAGTAGAGTGCGAGTCGCACAGTAACGGCTACAGTGGATTGTGAGTCACAGTAACAGGGCTACAGTGGAGTGTGAGTCACAGTAACAGGGCTACAGTGGAGTGTGAGTCACAGTAACAGGGCTACAGTAGAGTGTGAGTCACAGTAACAGGGCTACAGTAGAGTGCGAGTCACACAGTAACAGGGCTACAGTAGAGTGCGAGTCGCACAGTAACAGGGCTACAGTGGAGTGTGAGTCACAGTAACAGGGCTACAGTGGAGTGCGAGTCATACAATGACAGGGCTACAGTGGGGCGCGAGTCGCACAATAACAGGGGTACAATGTAATATGAGTCCTACAGTGACAGGAGTACAGGGGAGATTGAGCCCCACAGTGACAGGGGTTCAGTGGAGTATTGAGCTGCAGTCAGCTTTGAGGGGACTCCTACAGTTCACATACTTGTAATTGTTCTACACTGAAGCCTTTAGAGTATCTCATCAGGGAAAACTGCTTTGATGTTATTATAGAGCAAGTCTGTTTTCATGCCACAAAGATGCACACTGCAGCATGTGGTGTCAAAGCTGCCAACCTCACACCGGTTTCAGAGCCGCATAAGCACTCTGGTGTGAAGAGGAATTCACAGGCTCATCACAGCCTGCTGGTGTAATGCGGTGCGCTGCTGAAAACCGTATTTGTGTGTGTGACCAAGGTCATGAACAGCCAGGTAGCACACAGCTAACAGAGCACACTGAACAGAAGGGAACTCTGACAAGGTCAGAGGCTGAAATGACATGAGCACGGTGTGAACAAACAGGATGGGGAGGATCAGAACAGAGACGCACGGCATCTACGAGCTGCACTGAACAGAGACGAAGAGCATCTATGAGCTGCACTAAACAGAGACAGAGAGCATCTGTGAGCTGCCCAGACCAGAGACAGAGCGCATCTGTGAGCTGCCCTGACCAGAGAGCATCTGTGAGCTGCCCTGACCAGAGAGCATCTGTGAGCTGCCCTGAACAGAGAGCATCTGTGAGCTGCCCTGAACAGAGAGCATCTGTGAGCTGCCCTGAACACAGACGGACAGCATCTGTGAGCTGCACTAAACAGACAGAGAGCATCTGTGAGCTGCATTACACAGAGACGGAGAGCATCTATGAGGGACACTGAACAGACGGGGGAAAATCTGTGAGCTGCACTGAACAGAGACGTATAGCATCTACGAACTGCACTGAACAGAGACACAACATCTATGTGCTGCACTGAACAGAGATGGGGGAAAGTCTTTGAGCTGCACTAAACAGACAGAAAGCATCTGTGAGCTGCACTAAACAGAGACGGAGAGCATCTATGAGCGGCACTGAACAGAGACGGGGGAAAATCTGTGAGCTGCACTGAACAGAGACAGAAAGCATCTATGAGCCGCAATGAACAGAGACGGGGGAAAATCTGTGAGCTGCACTGAACAGAGACAGAAAGCATCTATGAGCCGCAATGAACAGAGACGGGAGAAAATCTGTGAGCT